GCCTGCACCAAATCTTTCCACACTATAGATTAACATCTATTAGACGTGTACGCCCGCATTTTACGTCCCGCATTCCTTATTGCTATCCTTTCGTTCGCACAGCAATCTTGGGACTAACTCAGCACCAGTACCATTCAGCCTTTATCGTGCCCCGATCCGGCTTGCGTAAAGACAGCTATCGGATTCACTGTTGTCACCGCACCTGCAGGAAAGGGATCTTTTCGGTAAGGAACTTCTCCAATGGCCTTTCAAGTCCTTGCATGATGGCTGACCTGTGACAGCGGTCGAGATTTCTTCAAGCTGGGTCGCATAGAACTGCAATGCGAGACAGCACCAAATCATACCATTGTAGTCGAGCCTGAAGTGGATGCCTCACAAGACCTACTAGCGAACGAAGACACCCCAAGTCCTCCCTCGTCGAGAGCAACACCAAAAGCGTCCTCGGCTGAAGCTATGGAGATTGACTCGCGTGCGCCATCTGTAGATCACCCAGATCACACTCGCGGGCGGTACGAGCCATCCCAAGACCGTAATTTACAACAGCAGCAGCAGTCTTTGCATCCTGTCGGAGACAACACGCCGTTGTTGACAGCGCCATCATCGAAGCAGTCTTCGATACGGAACTCCCCACACGCTTTTGCTCAAGACGCGCTGAGCACTGCACCGCAGTCAAATTCTCCCTATCTTCAAGAACCTCCTAAGTCTCACCAAGGTCCTGGTGTTGAGTCAATGAGCGGTCCACCTGAGGTACCAACAATGGTCCCTCAGACCAACGGCCATCACTATCCTCGTTCGCCAGAAGACGTTAGCATAGACGCTATGGCGCGTATACAGACGCAAATGTCCCACAACAGTGGCGCCTTAGCTGCGCATACCCGCGACATTAGGCTTCACCAGGAGAAGATGGACCAAACAGCAGAGACACTGCGTCAAGAATACCAGTTCAAGTTTCTTCAGCAGAACGAGCATATCAAAAAGGTGGAGGCGCTGGCCGAAAGATTACAAAGTGAGATGCAAGGCATGCACCATGCCATGGAAAACATGAATCGTGAGTTATATGCGATCAGGATGGAGAGGCAATCAGGAGCTTCGGCTACGCCCCATGCCGCTCCATCTTTCGCGGCGCAGAATGCAGCATTAGAGCAAATGGCGCAGCAGATGAATGTTTTGTCGCATAAGGCAAGTGATGTAGACCTTCTCAGTACTACTATCGAGATCATGAAGGGTAAAATTTATCGACTCGAAGAGCGCGCCGGACCTGAGCCCTCGCAAGCACCGCCATATACGTATCAGGCACCGCAAGCATCGATGGCACGCCCGCCTCATTCGCATCAGAGTACACCAACGATGACGCCGAGCAATAGAGCACCCCAACCAGTGACCAATGGCCAGCCACAGCAATCGTCGTTCGCCGCTCCTTCCACCACGGCGACACCTATGATCGCGCCGAATCCCACGAGCGTCGGTCCCACTGGAAGTCAGGCTGGCGGATGGGCTACCATCAACGCGGGAGTGAAACGAACACATCAGAACGGCGTTGAGAATCCACAGGAGGCCAACACTCAAGCACCCGGTTCGCCCAAGAGGCAGAGGCTTGTTGATGGTGGTCCTTCAGGTTACACGGCTTCGCAACAAACTCCCATGACAGACCATCGCTTTCAAACGCCTACGATACCGTCCCAACAAACTGTACCTGAATCTGTTCTTGGATCGCAATCGCAACAGCCTTCCTACGTCCCTTGCGCCACACAGGATGGCCCTTCGGACGCCAGCTGGCAACCCGAATCCCAGCGTATGATTGAACATCGACCGCGTGGGCGACGTGGCGGGGGTCCTGGAAGTCGGGGTGGCAGAGTTAGGAAGAGCATGCCAGCCCACGGTACACTCGGAACCCCTGATTGGGAAAGGCCTGATTGGCAAGGTGTTCCCGACTCTCAGATTAGTCCGTCTGGATACTACCAACACGTCCCGCAGCCAGGAAGAGGAGGCATTGCGCGGCGAGGTAGTGGAGGTGGGGGTGGTCGTGGCGGTTACCCAACCAGCGACCGTGCTAGCAGTCTAGGTCTACAAGGTGTGACAGCTGCTATGAGCTTCGGATCGCCAGGCGATATGTTTGGATCGGCAAAAAAGACGCGCACCAAACCTATTAGGAATGCAGATGGAGTCTTGATTCGCAAAGACGGGCGTCCCGACATGCGCTCGCAATCCTCTGCAGCTAACCTCCGCAAGGTGCATTCACGCAACGAAGGCGAAGCAAGCCACTCACCCACTGGCTTCACACCCACCAACCAGCAATATGCGACCTCGGGCAATGCACCGGACACGCCGAGTCCAAGCGGTTACGCAGCGGACCCAAACGCGAGCGATAAGCACAATGCGATCATGGGCAAGATGTTTCCCGCTGGTGTCGACGCAGCACGGAAACAACAAGACTACACTCGTCAAGTCTTTGAAGAGAACATCGATCATACCGTCCACCCACGGTCGCAGAACCACGCTCCCGCTACAAAGGCGGCAGTCCAGATCAAGAGAGAGCAGGTTGAGCGGAACCGAATCTCTGAGACACAAAGCCCACGGGTGCAGGAAACGGATGTAGATATGGATACAGGGGAGGACCACGCAGACGACGAGCGTCAGACGCCTGAGGAAGGCAGCAGTCACCAGGAAGGTGGTGTAGGACTCGAAGATCAGACTCAGGATACGAATATGCAGGAAGAACGCGGCACCGAAGCTGCCTCATACACCAGTCCGGAAAATGAGGCAGCTGGACAACCGCGTAAATTCAACTAGGAGAGCAGATTCGATCCGAAGACTGGGGTGCATCGTTATGTGAGGGTAAAGAACAAGTAAACCTTTTGTTTTGTATTAGTACTTGATAGACTATCAATAGTGTCAGTTGATACGACGGAATTCCATGTTTCTGCATTGGTCAGCTTAAATGTCGGTGACCCTTAGAGCCTACGTTGACGTTAGGTCACATACTTTGCATCTTTCTATATTAATGTAGGCTGTACGTTAACGTTACATTGCATACTTTACATCTTGTGATGTTTATGTAGGCTCTAGGGTGTTTAGTGATTCCTTGAATAAAATGGATGTGAAGGGTAACTTCGTTCGCCTTCACGAAATGATCGATATTGAGAATTACAGTACATTCCAAATCCGACTATGTCTTTCTAAAATGGGACAGTGGGAGCCTTCTCCGACCCATTGGACCTCTCCGGGTAGTGAATTGCGCCCTCGGAAGTAGCGCAATTGGTGAGGTAGGTAGCAGAAGCATTAACGGGGATGGCATTGCCTTCTTGAGGGCGGCCGTAGACCTGATAACATGTTAGCATCCATCTGATCATCATGTGCACACGTAGGGTATACTTACGTGCTCGTAGTACCAAACCTCGCTCAAGATAGTGTAGCCTCGATCAGTCGTGTTCTTGCCAGCATCAGTAGCATTGAACCTGGGTCCCGAGCAGCCCAAGAAAGGAATTCCGCCGTGCTGCTCGTACAGAACATCTACAAGATCAGAGTACGAGTACGTGGTTGAGTTAGAAGGTGTGATGCCCTCAGCAGCCAGCCAGTCGAAGGTGGGGAATCTCTTGTAGTACTTGACAGCTGTCTCGAAGAAGTCGACAACGTCCTCGTGCTCGCGGTACTGCGGGCCGTAGCAAGGGACGTTGAAGGTAGAGAAGCAGGTGGCGTGCTTGGAGAACTCGTGGCCCCAGAAACCGGGGTTGTCTTGCTGCCATGCGATCCAGTAGGTATTCATGTACTCCAAGAGGTCGTAGCGGCCGAATGGCTCGAGGAAGGTGCCGATGTTGGAGCCGTTGTAGGGTGGGACGAATGTGCCGTTTGGTAGCCCGTTCGTGGTGTTAGGTCCTGGGATGGGGTCGTATTGCCGGCTCAGGTCGCAGTACTGTGTGTAGCTACCGTTACAGAAGTCAGGCCAGAGCCCGTGGAGCGTCCATGTGTCGGTGGGGAGAAGCTGGCCCTCAGACTCGCGGCCGGTGTATGTGTTCCAGAATTGAGTGCTCAGAACAAGTCCACCGAATGTCTCGACACAGCAGGAGTCGACCTTGGAGGGATCTTGCGACGGGCACGACAGAAGTGGTTCTTGTAGCTGGCAGGTGTGGTTCAATGGGCTCTGGTTAGGGTATAGTTGTGCATTTGCCGTTGTGGCCAGTAGAGCCGCAGTGCCGGCTTTGGAAAAGGTACCCTTCATCTTGTCTTGACTGTAAAGATAAAAGATTGATTGACGCAAAGGTATTCTACGAGTTCAACAACGCTGGGAAGCCGACATCTATAAAGCTCACAAAATTTTGGCCACGGCGTACCCAGGCGGCTGCAGCCCCAGTCGGTGCTTACCACATGTAGAAGGTACATCTTCCAGACTCCTGGTTAGAGCTCCGGCGGCGGCGATGAGCGAAAGACGAACAGTACCTGCATGTAACTCACGTGTCGGTCCTATTGGATGATAAGAGAACAAGGCTACGCAAGCCGCGCCTTGGTGCGTGTACCCACTTGAGCTGTCTCCGAGGCCATGATGCTGGAGATGCGCCTTGGGATGTGAGATTGGTGGGTAGGACCAGCCACAATTACGGCTTCTGTTCGCTATGCAAGAAAAAGTTGAGGATTACGTCTTGAAGGATGGCTGGGGCAGAACGTGGGTTGCGCGATAGGTGACAGGGTATGGCTGGGTCGGACCTGCTCGATGACGCTCCACGACCAGACGCACAAACTCAACAGCTGCATCGCCATTGCTCCAAGGGCAGTGAAGTCATCGATGAACGTCTCGAAGGTTTTCTAGCCCTACGCGTCCCTCGAATCTCAAACGCGCCTTCAACGGTGAACCGGACGAACGTGGCCTCCGACGAGGGCTGCCTATCGCCGCCTCCACACCCGCCATTCGTCGTCATAGTCTCCTCTACACGACAACCAGCCATGCGCGCCCACATCAAGCCCTTTGCATCCTCGCGCTGTTTTTTAGGCACTACCAAACATCGAGAATGCCTCCTTCGTCCTCCATAACGCCGCTACCCCCGCACAAGCCAGACACATACACGACGGCCCATCACATCGGCAAGCCACCCACAAGCTTCAAGAACCCATGGCCCTCCTATAAAAACGACGGCATAATCGCTGCCGTCCGAACGCGATTCAGCACACCCAAGAACTTCGTCCCGATTCCCGCCGACCGACTAGGCCTGGTCGACGTGCGCAAGCCCGACTTCAGCAACACGCAGAACGGGCTGAAGGCAACATGGATAGGACACGCAAGTTTCCTGATCGAAACAACAGCTTCAGAGGGAAACGAGCGGGGAATGCGCATCCTTCTCGACCCCGTATGGAGTGAGCGCGTAGGACCCTACGGTATGGTCGGTCCTGTGCGGTTCACACCTCCACCATGCACCATCGACGAGCTCCCTGAAATCGACGCTGTGTGCATCAGCCACGACCACTACGACCACCTCGACTCGGATACGCTGAAGAAGCTGAATGCGAAACAAGGCGGTGACTTGCGCTTCTTCTGCGGATTAGGCGTCAAGTCTGTTCTGACGGGGCTAGGCGCAGGCATCAAGGCGGATCAGGTCGAAGAGATGGACTGGTGGGGTGGCATAACCGTGTTCAAGAAGGGTGCTGGAGGCGTAGAATTGATATGTACGCCTGCGCAACATCGATCTGGACGCACGCCCTGGAACTTCGATGGTACACTATGGTGTAGTTGGATCGTCAAGGAGCCGTCTTCATCTGGCAAGAAACTCTTCTTCGCTGGCGACACAGGGTACTGCCACGTTCTTTCCGACGACCAATTCTCCCACCACGACGCGCCGCACCCGCCTTGTCCGGCTTTCAAAGAAATCGGCGAGTTGTACGGACCTTTTGATCTGGCACTTGTACCTGTGGGTTGCTTTAAGCCGAGGTCTGTTTTGTCTGGTCAACACTCTAGTCCTGAGGATTCTTTGGCTATACACAGGGATGTGAGGAGTAAGAAGAGTATAGGCATGCACTTTGGCACGTTCCGTGGTCAGTACTCGGCCAGCTTTGAACCGGTTACTGAGCCGCCTGAAAGATGGCGGAAGGGTGCTGAGGCAGCTGGGTTGAAGTGGGGTGTTGATGTTGATTTGTGTGATATTGGCGGGACAGTTGTAGTTTAATGGCATATTCACTTCATACAAGAAAAAACCCGAACATGTCTGCTGACTGCATCAAGATGAGAACATGCAAAGTAGGTGAGCTAACGTCAATGTAGGCTATAGGGTCTTGCCTAGGTTGATGTGTATTCAACAAGCCCTTTAATTAATTAGACGAGTAATGCGACATGTACGATACTTATATCTATCACAAACCATATCGACTGGGTTATGCTTGGTCAAGACTTCACTGTAGAGAACAGAATGATTCGAATAATGCATTATGTCCTATCCATCTAAGTGGAAGAAAAGCACCATCGTTAGTACTCATACAAAACCAGTGATGCCTTCTAATGTAAATGCATAAGCTACTTTCAACGCAACGCACGTGGCGCCGTCTAGTTGTATTGCATGTAGGTAGCGGTCGAGTTGAACTTGAGGTTGCCCTTGATGACCTTGTCCACGGCAGCCAGGAAATCCTTCTCAGTGGCGACCTTCCTTCGAGCCCTGAAAGTACAAGTTAGTATATGTCTCACATGCATTTTGGACAGTGGTTACCTGATCGCGAACATCCCCGCTTCTGTAGCTACACTCCTCAGCTCGGCACCTGTGCTGTTGGGGCAGAGACGAGAGATGAGCTCCCAACGGATGTCGCGCTCTACACTCATGCTCTTGGCGTGGATACGGAGAATGTTAGCACGGCCTTCCATGTCTGGTAGCGAGAACTCGATCTTTCGGTCGATACGTCCGGGACGCATGAGAGCTGGGTCGAGAGTCGAAGGCCTGTTGGTCGCGAACATGACCTTGATGTTACCGCGAGCATCAAAACCGTCCAGTTGTGTAATAAGCTCCAACATGGTACGCTGTACTTCGTTGTCGCCTCCAGCACCGTCATCGAAACGAGCACCACCGACAGCATCGATTTCGTCGAAGAAGATAATACACGCCTTCTTTGTTCGTGCCATCTCAAACAGCTCGCGCACCATCCTCGCTCCCTCTCCGACGTATTTCTGGACAAGCTCTGAACCGATAACTCGGATGAAGGTGGCGTCGGTTCGGTTGGCAACAGCTCGGGCGCAAAGGGTCTTTCCGGTTCCTGGAGGGCCGTAGAGAAGGGCACCCTTCGGAGGGTCGATACCCAGGTTGACAAAACGCTCCGGTGATAGCAGGGGCATCTCAACGACCTCTCGCAGCTTCTCAATCTGCTCTTTGCAACCTCCAACATCTCCGTATGTGACATCGGGCTTGTCCTCAACCGTCATCATGGTGACCGAGGGGTCGATCTTTGGCGGCAGGGGAAGCAAGATCTGGTACTTGTTGCGGTCGACACCCACCCGCATGCCCTCCTCGATGTCGGTGGGTGAGACGCGCTCTCCGAGGTTGACGACGAACTTGGCGATTTGCTTGACGTTGATGACATATTTGCTCTTCTCCGAGTCCTTCTCGTCTTGTATTATCTTGGTGCATCGCGCGACCTGGAGGGGTTGCTCTTCTTGCATTCGTTGGCGGTCGGCGGCGATATCCCAGAGATGTGGAGGTGCGAGTCCGGTATCTGATTCCTGGGGGCGTTAGTCAAGCATGGGTGGAGGGTGAAGGAGTCTGTACTTTGACGCCAATCTTCTCGTTTATCGTCTGCTGCTTATCCTTGATCTCCTTCTCAAGCTTCTTGAGTTCGGCGCCATAGGGTGCCGCGCCGTATGTCTTCAACACCTGGATGTCCCTGTGATATCATTAGCCCATGTCCGCTCTGATTGTGACGTGCCATCTCTTACTCATCAGTCAGAGGTGTGATCTTCTTCTCCTCGACCTCGTCGTCGGCGAAGTTCTTCTGGTACTTCTCCCAGGACTGGCCTGTGGCTGAAGGCATGCTTGCGGAGTGGGCGGCGACTGTCGTGTGGCCGAGATGGGGTTCGGGCTATGCGTGCAGTCGGGTTGTGGATGATTCCGGGTAGGAGCGACAGTGGGAGCAGATGCGGCGGCGCGGGCGAGTGTATGGGGTTGGTTGTTGTGGACTGGGTGAAGGTGTAGCTGTGATGCGGCAATGGCCCGGCGAGTCGGAGCTTGGGGATTGGCCGTGCGCTACGTCTATCGCGTTCTCGAAATATTGTCAGTTCGCGTCCAGGCACCACAACTTCCCCGCCAAACTCCCACGATACCCCTCTTTTAGCTTTGTTCCTCTGTATACTGAAAGATGGCTGCTCAAGTTGCAAATGGCGGTACCGGTGGCGGTAACACTGCCTTCAAGGTGCGCTTCGTCATTAAGCTCTGAAAACATTGACTGACATTGGCCCAGGACAAGGAGAAGCCCAGAGCTGTTCGCAGCGCCAACATCATTGCCGCAAGAGGTACAGAACCTACTCCTTCTCTTTTAGGAGCATCTCGCTAACTCAAATTGTGCAGCTGTGGCAGATGCGATCCGAACTGTATGTCCCACCACGAGGTGCGGGGAAGAGATGAATACTAACTTTCTGGCAGTCTTTGGGACCAAAGGGCATGGACAAGATGGTATGAGACAGGCGCAAATCGCTAGCCATCACAACTGACTTGTCCAGATTCAAACCAGCAAAGGCCAGACCATCATCACGAACGACGGAGCCACCATGTTGAACCAGATGAGCGTTATGCACCCCTCCGCGAAGATGCTCGTCGACCTCGCACACGCCCAAGATATCGAAGCTGGAGATGGCACAACGTCGGTCGTAGTCATTGCTGGAAGTCTGTTGGGCGCTGCTGAGAGGTTATTGGGCAAGGGCATCCACCCCACAGTCATATCAGAGGCTTTCCAACGGGCAGCGCAGGAGGCGATATCCATATTGACCGAGATGGCCATCCCTATCTCGCTCACCGATAGGCAAACGCTCCTCAAGACCGCCACGACCGCACTCTCTTCCAAGATTGTCGCCCAGGAGCCCAAGCTTCCCATCATGGCTGTGGACTCAGTCCTCAAGGTCATTGACCCCAAGACCGCCGACAACGTGGACTTGAAGAACATCCGCATGATCAAGAAGTCAGGCGGTACCATCGAAGACAGCGAGATGATCGACGGATTGGTTCTCAACCAGCCCGTAGTGAAGAGCGCCGGTGGTCCCACATTGAAGGAGAAGGCACGGATAGGTCTCATTCAGTTCCAGTTGAGCCCACCGAAACCGGACATGGAGAACCAGATTGTCGTCAACGACTACAGGCAAATGGACAAGATCCTCAAGGAGGAGCGAACATATCTGCTGAACATGGTCAAGAAGATCCAGAAAGCCAAGTGCAACGTTCTCTTCATCCAAAAGTCTATCCTCCGAGATGCGGTCAACGACCTCAGTCTGCACTTCTTGTCTAAGCTGAAGATCCTTGTCATCAAGGACATTGAGCGTGACGAGATTGAGTTCATTTGCAAGGTGCGTAAGAGAAGTGATTCACATGTAACGAAGCTAATGCACAGTAGAGCACTGGCTGCAAGCCTATTGCCGATATCGATTCATTCACAGAAGACAAGCTCGGTTCGGCAGACCTTGTCGAGGAGGTACAGGCATCGGGCGCACGATACGTCAAGGTTTCGGGTGTCAAGTCAGCAGCCAACACTGTCTCCATTGTCTGCCGAGGTGCTAACAACCTCATTCTGGATGAGACCGAGCGATCTCTACACGACGCTCACTGCGCCATCCGCTCGTTGGTCAAGAAGAAGGCGCTACTTGCTGGTGGCGGTGCCCCGGAGATTGAGATTGCGCATCAGCTGTCACTCAAGGCTCGTGAGCTCTCCGGCACTGAATCCATTTGCTGGAAAGCTTTCGCCGATGCCATGGAGGTCATTCCGACAACACTGGCGGAAAACGCCGGTTTGAACAGCATCAAGGTCGTCACAGAGCTAAGGCATAGGCACGCGCAGGAGCAGAAGAATGCTGGTATCAGCATCAAGAGCGGGGGTGTCAAGAACGACATCAGTGAGGAGAACGTACTGCAGCCACTGCTGGTCAGCACCAGCGCTATCGAGCTTGCGGCCGAGACCGTCAAGATGATTCTGCGAATCGACGACATCGCCTTGTCGAGGTAAAGAACTGCAAATGGGTTGACTTGGCAGCGAAAGACGCAGGATACCACGAGTAATGAAAAATTCGAACAACTGTTGATGCCAAACGAGTGTTTGGAATGTCATGACATTGCATGTGAAGGTTACGCGTATATTGCGTTCAATGCATGAACGGTGCAATTAAAACCTGCACGTGGGGGAGCATGGGACTGCAGTAGCGGGACACGTCGTTCTCTGCAGACTGTCGAGAAAGGATAAGCCGTGGATCACTTTTCTTCTTCCAGATGCCGAATTCGGACCACTTTGATCCTGGGGTATGCACCTGAAATGAGCACTGTTTTCAACTTGACTCGTTTGGAAAATGGAGAAATGCGAATGCGACTATCCGCGCGCGTGACGAAGCAATTGCTTTTCGGGCTGATCTTTCGCCCGCATAGGTTATCCGGCCGTCAGCATGTAGACGCAGTGTTTCCGTGCCGTGTTCATGAGTAGTGTATGTGTGATGCCTCACCACGATAACGCGAGCACCCTGGCCTAACGACTTTGTCGTGCACCTAACATTGCAGAATATCACAACGTGAAAACCGTTTCAATGCAAGCAGACGATCGGTTTTGTAATCTTGCTGTAGCCGCTTATCACACGGCCAAGATGTGAATCCTGACCTCGGGAACGCCGACGGACATCGTGTCTGCAGCAACATCACTTTTTAGCTGCGGCCACGAAACTCATACACAGGTATGCTGACTAGCAAGACATTCATCATCAGCACCTTCAATAAATCTTAAACACGACTCCGGCTACACTACGCGCGTGTAATAAACAAAGGCGCGAAAAAAGTAAAGAACCCCGGAAGAAACCACCTCCCAGCCGCCGTATGCAATCTAACGGCATTCTTCTCACTTTCGCATCACCGGACAATGACATGCATATGCCGTACCTTTTTCCCTAACTTTCTTTTCCCGTCGATCAGCCAACGCCACAACAACGACCTGCAGTGCCACACTCGCAAAATCCAGCGTACAATGTGAACAACATCGTCACCTCACGCAAATGCGTCACCGACCCAAGAAAACCACTCAATCGATCCAGACCCCCGCCACACACATGACCCGAATGACTGTACGCGCGCGCTATCCGCTGCGAACGCAAGATCGAGCCTTGTGGGAGTGAAGAAAAATCTAGCGCAAGCTGAAACGTAGCGTACCGTGAAGATTGGAGCAGTTCGGTTCGGCATCTAGTGGGTTAGTGTACCAGGTACTGACTTGTTCGGCAAGAGAACCCATTAGGAATCTAGAGCCGGTGGGCAGGTGGAGCTTCACCGGAAAGCGGTGGTGGAGTTGGGGGAGCTGGTGGAGGATAAGAGTGAGTGGGTGTTTCATGTTCCAGTGGCTGATGGGATGTTCGCTGTATTTTTGCGGAAAGTGTAGTGGGCACGTCATTGTTGACTGCAAGTGGAGGGTTGAAGGAGGAAAGAGAGGAGATGGAGAAGATGGTTGGTGGAATATGCTGTGCGATATGTTGATGCGTTGGATCGACCAATGCTCTCTCACATATACTCAACCTCAACCTAGCTGCCCAATAATCCTCTTTCTCATGCATCTTACCTCGCCACCGAAACACATCCTCCCAGCACCACGAAACGCATACAACGCCCAGTATCAACTACTGCATGCAAACTGTACGAGTACTGTAATGTTGATCTTTGCCTAGCCACTGGATGAAAACGGCAACGTCATACAGCCATCCCTGCCCTTAACATCTATGCGATATAGATCTCTCCGCTGCGGATAATATGGTTAGTGCAGTTCTTTGGCGAAACATGTGGAGAGATAAGACGGGTAGTGTGAACGGGTAGGTAAAGCTCCGGTAGAGAGTACGAGGACCTAGTCATGATCGCTGGGGGCGATCACTCCTTCGGCAAAAGTCAGGTGCTGTGAGTTGAGACGCTGGACTGTATCGGCAATTGCGATGAGTAACCGTTGTTGCCTGATGTAATAGGAAATACGCGGAAACAATGCTATCGACAAGGATGAGGCGAAGTGGTGGTATCAAAGCGACAGACCAGTTTTGGTTGCTGCCGACTGGGTATCATTCTCGATGAAGTTCTTGGCTAGCTAAGTATGAAGAAATACCAGCAGGGTAGCTGGACATGGGAGATGAAAGGAAAACGCCTCATTCATGCATCTGAATCGTTCGGTTCGTGCATCGTGATAATCGTACAGTCTGATGAGCTTTCGTAAACCCCCGTAAATGTCTAGAAAATGGTTGGACAAGGAAATAAAAGTCGCTCGCTGAAACGCAGCAGACCTGTTGTTGGTCTTTATTAGGAAAGACAGGCAAAAAGTACAATGTGAGAAGTGAATTAATAGATGCAGGCTGAAATGGGGATCAGCGACTGGTGGCCTTGAGGCTGGCACGCTTCAGTAGGCGGCTCACGAGGTTTCCGCGCGGTTTAGGCTTGACGTAGAAGGCGCCCTTGGTACCGGTCATGTCGTCAGTGAAGACAAGGTCTTCCAGTGCCAGAGGATCGTCTTTCGAGGTTTTGGGACTTGAGCTTGAGCCTGAGCCTTGCCAGCCGTACAATTGATCTTCGTCAGCTCGTAAATCGGGCCGGGTCAAGGTCATACGAAGCGTCATCTCGCGATTAAAATGCCCATTGGCGGAGTGGACAGGCGACGGAGCCGGCGAATCAACCGAGAACTTGCGGTGCGAGATTTGGCGGGAGTGCATGCGAAAAGACAGGCCGGTGCTGGAGGGCGTGGCGGGTGAGTCCATGTCGGCTACAGAGCCGGCATCAGATTCCAGACCCTGGTTTTCTTTTGGATGGTCTTCGAAGAACGACAGCTGTCCATCCCTAAGGAAGGTGTGCATGTCTCGGCTGAACTTGCGAGCATGATTGTCTATCTGTGGCAGCTGGAAGTGGGGTGTAGCGGCGTCGCTTCCAGCGGACGATGGGAAGCCGAATTCAATCGCTTCGTCGAACTTTTGAGGAGATGCAAGATACATGCGCAGCTTTTTCCTCGCCTCGGGATCCTGGTAGTGTGTCGCTTCGGGGTCGATCATGAGAGTTGGCGGCGTAGATGGCGAAATGTGGCCTGTAAGAGAAGAAGAGTGGGCACGCTGGTGAAGTCGATTCGGCCGAGCATTGAAAAGTGGAGGATCCGCCATGTATGAAGATCCAAGGCGGACAGGGTGCGACGTGAGGGACATAGTTCGTCTCATGTCTGCTGTTGAGGTTTCCCTCCGATGGAAGATGGGCGTGGCCATTGTGTCGAGATATAGTAAATGGGTGTTTCGGTCCTTGTCCGTGTTTGATGTACCAGAAGGCCCGAAAGTAGGGCGGGAAGGGCTGACGGTCGAAGAGGCCGAAGATGAACGACGTCGTGAACGGCCGCGTTCCGGAAGGTCGAGCGTGGAGTGGGAGAAGTCGAAGTGAAAATCGTTGAAGCGTTGTTGTGCCCACTCGGGATCCTGGTCGTCGGGAAGGAACGCCTGTTCGTGCCTGCCTTGGAGGAGGGCCTGCTCTTCGCGGGAAAAATGCTGCTTGCGGACCTTTTCAGGCAAGGAGAGAAAGAAGTCAAGGTCAATGTGGGAGATGTCGTGAGCGTGCACAGCCTTTTCGGATTTGCGTCTGCGTCGTCCGGTGCCGAGAGATAGCGAGGGCCGGTGGGATTTGGAAGCGGTGCTGGCCTGGGACGAGCGGCCTGATGTAGTAGGCTCGTCGGAGGCGTGCTGGGCGATCTGCAAACGCTCCAGGGATGAAAAGTACTTTCTCCTGTAGCGGGACGAATTAGCATTGGCATCATGGCATAATTGACAGGCCCTTCATCTACTGCAAGGTACACAAAAAGTCATGGTGGGGGATTCGGTATATGCACGCGCATAACGCGCCCTTATCACACGTCCCGACCACTCAGGAGCGCGGAATATTACTTACTGGACTGAATACGGCAGGGCGTCGAATTCGGCCTGCCGCAGAGGCAGAATAGTCCCTTTGGCTTTGCTCTTCATGGCTTCGGCTCGGATCTCGACGTCGGCGATGGCGCAACGTTTGGCTTCAGGCACATGGGGGCGTGGTTTGCGCGGACGACGCTGCGAATGGCGGCCCTGACGCCGTGGCCGGGCGGTGCGGCGGGCACTTGGTCGTGAACGTTTGGTTGAGCAATGCTGGTGTACTTTGTTCTCGAGGATCGACCGGAGGGCTATCCGAACAGCAGCAAGCGAAAGTCCGAAGAAGAAGGAATTATATGAGGTCCAACAGGACGGCCGCTGGGGGATAGAAACAATCAGTGGGCTCAGCAGCGTACGACTGTCGCTCGCACTTGGGGCGGCTGCATATTCGTGTCGCGGGATGCTGCAGCTGCAGGCTAACGCGCCGCCAGCGACGCACTCTCTGCTCTCCACCTCACACCTGGGCCCTAGTAGAACCGTGGCTGATGTATCCGAGAGCACGCCAGGCCCGCGTGCGGTCGTTGGTTGAGTCAGGTAGTGCAGACAGGCCTCCTCCCCGCTTCTCTCCACCTTGCCGTCCGCTGTTTCAGGCCCGTGGCCGCCAGGAACACACCGTCAGCGGAGCCACGATGCTTAGCGTGCGACACACCGCTGGCCAACGTGCCCGGCTCGCGGAGTCGACAGATGCTCTCCATCACATTTGCCTGATTAAGCCTCCGCATCAAATATACTTGCTTCTGGAATATGCGTTATGGCGTTACTACCAGGCCGCCCGACTGGCCGGCTCAATGGCTGCGCCAGCGTGTCACGGGTTAATATCGCACAGATCACCGTCGATTGCCAGACGCCTTGTACAACGTCGAGCATGCGCTGCGTAACGACGACAGGCTGACAACACGCACGCACGCTCCAAACAATCTGTCTAATTGCAGCGTATTGCACAGGTACAAGCAAGGGTATCTCAAGAGAAGCGCATCCAGCTCCCGCGCCAACACAAATGTTACCGCCCCCTGCACAGTTCCTAATATGGTTCCCCAGAGAGCGGTACCTGATTCCCAATTTGAACGTCGACAGACGTCTATTCACAAGACGGCGAACGTCTTCCACCCCGCCGTTGCCTAGTTCCGCATCGAGGAAGATTAGGCTTTCGGAAGCGTAGGCTTAGGCTTCCCAACATCATGCAGCTTGGACGTTGGCGGCCCCATTAATTTCACTATTACCTGCACAAGATCGATGTTTGCTGTCCAGGACTCCTGTCCGTGAACAAGCATTTTCTAGATCTTCAGGCACCCGCAATGTCATCTGCATTAAGGTATCAAGTCAGTATTGAGCCCGTGCCACGGTGTAAAGGAGGAGCACGTACAGTAGTATTCGTCATCCAGTCCTTCACGGCTTGGGAGCACTGGTTCCTCCAGCCCGACATCTTCGTAGCGAACGTTGAGCAGACGGATCTTGAGCCCGTAACCGCCGATGAAGGTTACCAACTTATTGGTGTCGGCGGTAATTGGCTGTTGGTTCAGTAGCATCAGCAGTCCATCAAGCCACTCGGAAGCAAGGGTATGGCTCTGGGGATGCAGATGCAGTAGGACGGATTCTTTTCGCCCTGCACCTGAGCCGCTGGACGCCTGCCGCGCGTGATTGGACGGGGGCAGGTAACCGTGGATCGTGATCTTGGTCGACGTCGAAGCCCGCTCGTGGCCTGGCAGGGTTGTGACCGTACTGTCTGACGATGCGGTCGATGGCGCCGAAGCCGAGACATTGCTCACCACCGAAGAGACAATGGATAGATCGACTGTACATGCGGGTCAGCCACTGCGGTAACGCAAACCATAAACGACGCGTGGACGCGTTACACTTACTCTTCTCCTGCAGCGTGTCTAGCCTCGGCTCAGTCGCCGTCTTCTCGTCAAAGTCAGCGTAATGCAGATATCGCCTGTTGTGCGACAATCGGACAAAACGCCATGATGAAGGCACAGAACGATTCAGGGTCTTGCTGGTTACCGGACCCGCACTCGTGCCGTAGTCGATACCCATTGGAAACCACGCGCCTTGTAGCAGGCATCTTATACGCTGCTCCTTTACAAACTGCAGAGCCTCATGGTTGAGCTCGTCACGGACCTGACTGTAGAGAGTTAGCTGAGCACAGACTACATCAACGCAAACTGCATACCGGAGATGATGGCCCCATGCGTCCTCGTAGGTCAGCTCCAGTACTTCCATTTGGAGTTCTCTCAGGCGTTTCAGCTCGAATTCAGCCAGATCTTCCTCCACGTCCTTTACGTCCCTCATGCGTGGCGCCTGGCCCACGACCTGCTCGATCAAGATACGGACAAGCTCTTCGATCTTCTCAAAGTCCTCGGTTTGTGCGCCGGCTACCTTCCATAGTCGGATGAAGGCACTCAGACCACTTGTATGTAACCTGGACCAGTGGAGCAGGAGGGGCTTGAACGAGCGGTCGAAGTTGGCCCGCGAGTCGGTAGGTCGGTGGGAGTCCACATCGTCGAGCTTGTCTATTTCAAAATGTTCGTATAGTGTCTGGGTGACCGACAGACTTGCGCGAGCGATTGGGCATCGCTGCTCGAGTGGCTCTGCCGACTGCTCCAGCAACAGCTTCTGAAACCCGTCTTCGTTCTTGTAGACAAAGTCTGTAATGTCCATGAGGCCTAGGAAGCCAGTCGCATCGAACTCCCACGCGGGTGATTCCGTCTCGAAGCCCAGACGCTTCCATTTATCCGGGTTGTGCTTCTTGCTACCTTTGGGGTCTGATGCTGACTTCTCCGGATTACTCGCTGTGTGTAGCCCGCGGATCGCCCTCCTGTGATCGGGGTTCTCCAAGTCAACCTTCTCTTCCCTCCAGTTCCTGAGCAGTATCTTGGTCAAGGATTGGAAGTCGAGTAGTGGATGGGCCAGATCTTGTATCGCAGAGCTCTGCATAAGCCCGTATACGCTCTTGATCACGCCCAGCTCCTGCAGCTGCTTGATGAACTTGGGCCATTCGAAAGCTGCGTCGTTTGCGATGGCGTCTCGCATGAGCGCGTTGATGAGCTGTAGGGAGTTTGCGCATAGCGCGTGGTCGGCCGAGGTGATCTTTTCGACGAGGGAGGGTAGGAAGTCGGGCTGAGAGTCGACGGCGGGCTTCAGGCGCTGGAAGCCCGTGGTCCCGTCCTGGGAGTTACGGTGTGAGGGGTGGCCGACAATGGCAGCGAGGACCGACATGGCACCGCGGTTGACGTTGACGAGAGGTTGCGCGACAACGAGGTCGACGATCTGGAGTATAGTTGTTAGACCTCTTCAGGCAATCCCTCGTTCCAAGGTCGTCGTCGACTTACCCTCGCGACCAGATCGTCCGTGACATGGTCCCATCCCTTGTCCAACTCCAGCAGGCGTGCGAGAGAGGTCAGACAGTAGGCCAGGGTGTTGCCGGTCGAGTGCAGGGCCAGGAAGCGCAGCTTGGGCAGGCCGCCTTCGTATATGAAGACGTCGGCGAAGGAGGGGTCGCCAATGGCATTCTGCAGCTTGAAGACCGCCATCTTCCGCACCGACTCCTCCTCCGCGCCGAGGCGCGCAACCAGTTCCGACACATTGACGCTATCCATGGCTCAAGCTTCTTCGCAGGGTGGGAGGATGTGGGGTAGGTAAGAATAATGTGGAGATGGTTCGTTCGCCCCAAGTCACGCAGGAAGGGCAGACATGGCACACGCGCCAGAGACCGAGGCGGCGGAGTTGGCGGGCGGGATGCTCGTCGCTGCTGTCGACGATGTTTCACCCTGTCCTGCGCCGTCGCGCGTTAGCTGAGTCGCGCGACCCTTTGCTTGGCGACACGCTTCACGTGCGCCGGCCCACATGCTGTTGGCTGCCTGGGCCGGCTAGTCAGGTACGTCGCCGAGCCGACAACATCCAAAGCGCCGTCCGGTCCGTCCTGAGCACCATCGCGACTAAACACCAGCGCTCCTTTCGGCCCATTCGCGTCCCTTTGCTTTAGCGCGCCGTCCTCGATACCCTTTGTCCTGTTTCGCAAGCCGCTTTCTGTTCTGTGTTGACGCCGCCGCTGCACGTTCCAGCTCCTTCCGCCTTTGAGGCCGACAACAGCTTCTCCGCTTCACCCTCACCATCACCGCGAAGTCGCCGCCACTATGGTCTACATCACCTCTGACTTGTTCGGTCCCAATACACCGCACGAGCGCCAATACGACACCACCACCAGCTACTGGCACACCATGGCCCACGATCAACACGCCGCCGGCCTGGGCAAGAGAAAGAGAATGGCTGGCGACGACGGACCCCAACCGTATGCACAATACTCCATCCAACATAGAGCTCCAATTCTAACAACTCTGCAGCATGTCACGCCAACACCGCTCATCACCCAGTCGCGACTCCAACCGCCTCCATCTCCACAATACCCCGCCTTTCGAGAGCAACAACAACAACCTGCCATACGCCCTCTTCCCCTCAAAGCCACACGAATACACATCAGAACGTCGGCCGGTGAAGCAACTCAAACGCCTCAGTCCGAAAGCGTCTCTCGTCAAGTCAACATCACACCTAATGGACGTCGATCTCGACGCCCCATCACCCTGCCAAACCCAATCACACGCCGTTTCCGACCTGCGATCCTGTCACGCCTGCAACAAAGCGCCCAAGCGACGGAAAGATCTGGAAAACTACCTCGATTGCACGAGATGCGAAGGCCGGACCTGTTTCATCTGTGCGAGGCAATGTGTAGGCTGCAGCAAGGCGACATGTAAGAAATGCATAGTAGAAGTCGGGGAAGAGGGGGACGCATGGTGTCTCGACTGTTACTCGCGGAACCTCAACTCATGAGCGGTAGAAGAGAAGGTGATTTGGTTGTTTTGGTTCATTCTAGCAAAGCGGGCGTCCTTGTGTTACTAGCAGCTGCATTGAGCGAGACTCTATCGAGCATCATAATGAAGAGAAGATTCCATCATAAACCAGACCATGTGTCATTCGTGATTCTAGTCCCATTGTTAAACATACAAAGTATCCAATAACCAGTGACGTGTTCTAATCCTCATCGTCTGTATCCCTCTCCTCCACAA